CATGGGCCAACCTTAGTGAAGATCGTCGCAGACTTTTCCCATATTACAAAAGCGCCGTCCCTGGGATTTGAACATGGAATCTTCCCATAACGTTTGGTAAGAGTGACAACTAGATCACGTCACTAAGTCGCTACACCTCTCTAATTTTAAATTTCTTTCTATTCTCTTAGCTTCATTTTCTTTATTTTTTTAATTAATTTTTTTTTTACTTTTAGTCTTTTCATCTTTATATTCTATTCTACGTTGTTTTGAGTTTTCTTTCAAGGTCTTTTTCGGTCTTGGCTTCTATGGCGAATGGGCTTCAAAATTTTTTACCGTTACCGATCTTGGACCCGAGATATTGGTGACAAGATCTTCACCAAATCTCTTACTTTTAGACTATTTTTGTAAGTAAAGTCTTTGTACTTCTTTGGTTCCAGATCACTTTTTTTTTTTTTTTTATAAGTCTATCATCTGTCTCCATCTCTAGGTCTAAATATTTCAGTTTCCGTTTCAGTTTTTCTAGCCTTTAGTTCTTAACTTGCTTGGACTTTCTTTTCCGAAGCTGAAGATTTTTTCAGGCCCCTTTTTCCGGTTTTATCTTGGACTTTTGTTACTAGTTTCTTTTCAGAGCCTTCTTTTCCGGCTTATAAAGAATTCGTACAATGTTGTCTTTGGATCTTGCAAGTTTTCTTGGACTTCTTTCCTTACCAGCAGAGATTTCTTGAACTTTGAGTTCTTCTGAAACACGATAATTATGCGAAGCTAAGTATATCTTTCCAGAGTTTTAGTTCTTTTTTTTTTTTTTTTTTTTTTTTTTAGAAGTATACTTTTATTTATTCACTAGTCAATTATTTTTGGTTAGTCAGATAGGTTCAGAATCAGGTTAGAACTTCTAACATAAAGGCTTTTTGAGAACTTGACTATGCCGTTTTAGAATATACGCGTGGAATCAGATGTAAAGCACAGGACGTTTACTTTACTCTAGGGCTATATGAAGTTGAGGCGTATATAGCATTGGTGTATCCTTTTTTTATTATATACCTTGTGTTTTTGTTTTTGGTGATTCATTGCAGCATTTTTATCCCTAGCTATTTTTATATAATATTCAAAAGCCTTCTTTTCATCTTTCTTCACACCAATACCATGTTGATAACAAAAACCAACATTTTTAATCATGGGAATTTGGAATCTAGAGTTTTATCGGAGCCCTTTTTTACAGCAACGAGGGGCCTTGTGATTCGGGTAAGTGCTAGAAATTATTTTAAAATTATTTTCTTGAAGGTCTATATTTGCTGATTTACATTCTTTCGGTCATTGCTTTAACATATATAGGATCTAGTATTACTTTGTTCCAGGTTAATATTCGAGGCATTATGGTAAATTGGGCGAAATATTGGAACTGAACGCGAGAGACTATGCGAAAGTGCACATGAGTGGGTGTTTGTAGAGCCATTGTATCTTTTTTACAAATGTGTTTGTTTCGTTTTTCACTTTTTTTTTTGATATTTTGTTCTTGGCTAGTACACATTATGTAGAACCAGTTGGAGATGTGGATGGACTATGTGAGAAAGGACGTGAAGTTTTAGAGCTTTGGATCGAATGATTCAATCTATGCAAAATTTAAGACTAGGTTAACTCAAGAGGTCTGAATTTGAGTTAATTGAAGTCTTGATGTGAAGAACTATACAAAATTAAATGTGGAACATGGAAACTTAGAGAAGTGGCGTATCCTTTTTTATAATATATGTTTTGTTTTCTGCTTCTTTAATATTTATTCTACTAACATAAAGAGCATATAAATAAGACAAAATATAAAATATAGGTGTATATATAGAAGGGGCATCAATACGAAACAGCTCTCTTCGGGCTTAAATTTCTTCAAATAGGCGACCCGGTCCTGTCATTGTCGCCAAATGTAACCGAAATATTCAGTTTTGGGTTGAGTTAGATCTTTGTTAGAAGAGATTCAAGACGAAGAGGCTTTTATTTAGATAGTTTTTAGAACATGATAGTGGATTATGTCTTTTTAAGAGACCAATTTACATCTCTTTTATAATTCTTTTATGAATAACTATTATTCTAAATAAATCTTTAAACTGTTTACTGGCCTTGTTATGCAAAATAATTTTATGTATAATGATTTATACGTAATGATCGTATGCATAATGAATTATGCATAACGAATTTATGCATAATGAAAATAATAAATAGCAAATAAATAAATAAAGAAAAATCTATACTAAGAAAAATAACTTAGTAGTTGCCGTATATAGTATATGAGATTACGTGACCACCACAATGTTATACGCAAAAATACCACTCTGTTACAATACTAAAGATAAAAAGAACGACATGAAAGAGAGAAAGAAAAAAACTGTCTAAGCAACAAGAAAATAAACAAAAAGAAAAAATAAAACAAGAAGAAAAAGTCAGAAAAAAACAATCTATGAAAACACTATTATAGCCTGTGCTAGACATAGTTGTAAAAATTATATACTAAATTTAAAAATCTTGTATATCTTTATTGTAAAGCTTTACCTTATCATTAAGTCTCTTTCAACTTTACTGTTCGGTCTGGGTTGGTTCATTAACCAGAGTGCTGATTAGTTTGTCACATGGTATAGGTACATCATTGTCAAAATAATCTTGTGTTTATGTTCTACTTTGTCTGTTCAAAAATGGAAAATGTAAACAATGCCAATCTTTTGGAGTGGGTAGGCTAGATTGCTCACTTTTTGTCAAAAATTTTGATAAGGTTGGCGAGAGGCAGTAAAGGTGAAAAAAAAAAACCACTAGTTCCAAACTAAAAAAGTATATATATTTTCTTGCAAAGTATATCAGGGACTTGTTAATTGAGCAAAGGGTAGGTACTTAAAGAATGTTAAAGAGTTAGTAATAAACTCTAAACTTGTTAGCAAGTAGTATATGAAAACTACTTCTAAACAACAAGTGCTCTTCGTTACAACAGTGAGTAATAAACTCTAAACCTGTTAGCAAGTAGTATATAAAAACTGCCTCTAAATAACAAGTGCTGTAGTTCCTCAACTTATCTTACTTATTACTTTTTTAACTAGTTGTAATATATTTATTAAGAAAAGTTTTTTGAAAAAATTTAAAAAAAATAATTGTTGAAAAGAGTTGAAATTTTCCTTAAATAAATATTTAAATTTTTTAATTTAATTAAAAAATATTTTTATTGTACTTTTCAAAAAAATATGATCTCTACAGAATTGAGGATTAAGAATTTTACTGAATTTAAATAAATATAAATATAACTAATTAAAAATAGATAATTTAATATCTCAAAAATTTTCTCCAATTATTACAAAACTATGATCACATCTTTTGAAAGCTTTACAAATTTAGTTTATCTAGCAATATGCATCATCCAATTGAGTAGTATATTTAATAAATAGAAAGTATTAGAAATTAACTACAAATCCAACTTTTGTTCTAGTTATATTAAGCAAAGTATTATTAGTAAATATTTTAAGAAATGTAAAGCCTCTTTGTATACCAACTATGCTAACAAAAAAGAATACTATTACAAAAAATAAAAATAAAACTTTTGCTTAAACATTGAACAATGTCCACATTCCGTGGATGTTAGTGACAATCTATAAATTTGAATATGAATAAACATGAAAAATATATTAATACTATAGCAGTAATAGTAAAAATTGCTCTCTAAATAAAGTCTTTAGAGATACTGATTTATACTAATCTTTTTTCACTAAAGATATATAAAGAGGTAAAAAATACTTTAAGATAGTTTAAAAAAAAATTTATTGTATAAAGCCATGAGTTGCTAATTGATAATGTGATTTTTCATAGTAAGAGTTACTTTAAAAATTTTTATTTATGTTGTATAACTCAAAGATCTTCAAGCTAATCAAATCAAATATTCACCATGCTTCTTTATTTCTTGTTAAATATAAAACCTGCTAACTTAACTACAAAATAATAAATCACTTTTCTAAAAAGTTTTACTATATTATTATGCTTTAAAACTTTCTAAATTCAAAAATATATAAAAAAAACTATTAAATATAGTGTCTAATTAATAATATACATCAGAAAATTTTTTAAACTGATAAATATCAATTGCTATTTAAAGCTATTAATCAATTAGTAACACCCCCATTGATTTTTTTTTTTTTTTTAATATTTGGGGTGTAGCTCCTGCCCCAGACTTTTATTAATACTTAAGTAAATTGACATATG